ACTGATAACGTACTTGTTCAGGAATTGCTGAAAACTGTATGCCATTCTTTTTTTTTTTGAGACAGAGTCTTGCTCTGTCGCCCAGGGTGGGGTGCAGTGGCCGGATCTCAGCTCACTGCAAGCTCCGCCTCCCAGGTTTAGACCATTCTCCTGCCTCAGCCTCCCGAGTAGCTGGGACTACAGGCGCCCGCCACCTCGCCCGGCTAGTTTTTTGTATTTTTTAGTAGAGACGGGGTTTCACCGTGTTAGCCAGGATGGTCTCGATCTCCTGACCTCGTGATCCGCCCGTCTCGGCCTCCCAAAGTGCTGGGATTACAGGCTTGAGCCACCGCGCCCGGCCTGTATGCCATTCTTAAACGTAACAGAAGAGATACCAGAAAAGCTAAAGAGAAAGAAAAAAAGGGAGGTAAAATGATTGGGGAAGGAAACATTGTAGCAAAATAAAGTGTGGGTGATAAAGTAGTAGATGCATGCCATTTATTCAATCATTTGAGTTATGAAAAGAGGGAGATTAGAATTTTATTTATAGGAACCTGTTGAGAACAGCGAATGTGTGGTCCAACATAGTGGGCCCTCAGTGTTTTTGTGGTGTAATGAGACAGGAAGTGATTTCTTTCAAAATTGAAAAGGCAGAAGGAAAAGAACTGTAAACCATCTCACCAGGCTCACATTTCTTCACAGGGAAAAAAGTGTCAAAGCTCTTAAGGCAACTCCAAAAGGTTCTAGGCAAAAGTTCGCGCTGCCCTCACAGATTATGAGCAAACGAAGGTGAATGCAGGCACAAAAATGCTGCATTTTTGGATCACTTTGGATCAACCATAAGGAATTACTGACTACCTACCTGAGGCCTAGCCCCAATGGCATACACTCCTGTCCACACAAATTCAACAAGAAAATATACAGAAGACACCCCTGAACAGAACAGACATCATACACAATAAACTGCAACACCTGTCCACAGAAATAACACAAAAACACACACAGTTCAATGGTTCTCTGAAAGCCGCATCTTGTGTAGAACCCTCATGAGCTTCTCAACGTTAAATCATAGCCAAAGATAACTTTATAAATTCTGTAGTACCCCCAGCTTCTTCTTCCATCTTCCTCAAAACAAGAGATCTGATTTATCATGAATCTCTCATTGTAGGCTGACTCTGAAATTATACAGGCATTTTTCTTGGAATGCATTTTATGCCTTCTCTCTAATTGGTAGGGTAAAGATCTCATCCTCTTGGAAGGCAATTTAGGTATTGAAGCAGTGCCTATATTTAGTAGTGGGCAGGAGTAGAGAAAACTTTCTATTGCCTCTACAATTATACTATAGTCTATTCCTAAGATTCATTCTCAGGTAAAGTTATTTTATAATTCTACATATTTTTCAGGGTACATACGGGTGAGGAGTAGGAAAGTGGTCATTGTATAACTAAAATACAGTGTACTCCAAAGAATGACATGGAACTCCCTTAATCTTTCCTCTCCTCTCCCTTTGACTGACAGTACCCAGAAGTAACGTCATTGGTACTTGACATCAAGGTCCCTTTTACATGATGCTCTTTTCAGACAGATCTGGTTCCTCAAACTCTATTTTTACAACAAAGCTCCCACAGTGCTTCCCCCAAACCAGAAACACTGCCAGAGTCCTCTAACACCTAACATCCCCAAGGACAGGAATAGAAAGCAGCCCCATAAGTATAAAAGGAACCATCATTGATGCTAGAAAATAATATATTTAGTATGTGCCTAATTACAATGTGATTCAAAATCAATTATGTCAATGAATGTTCCTAATAGAAATACTAATATTTAAACAAGCATGTTGAAGTGCTGGGGGGTGGGTAGGAAGAAAGAGACATGTATGAGGACAATGGCAAGAGACATGACAAGAGGCACTTTGGGATTGGATTTTAAAAGGTCTTATATGCCATGTTAAGATGGCATATAAGATGTTTAGATCTAGTCATATGAACCTAAAACTTAAAAACATAGCTTAGATTATAAAATTCAGAATATAATAGCATATGCCACAGTATTATGGAGATTAGATTGAAGGGGGAATACAGTAGAGAAAAAACTGCCAGAAGATAATAAGGCCTGTTGCAAAGCTAGTTCCAAAAATGACAGGGGCCTAAACAAAGCCACAGGCAGTAGTGATGAATCTTCCTAAGGCACCTCTTTGATCATCTCACCCCTTTGCCCAAAAAGGACTCCCTAACTGACACTTGACACACAAGGTCTTCCACAAATCTGGTTGCAATCTTGTGTAACCCCAATGTGACCCTGTGTAAATAATGTGTTCTAGCAATACTGATTTTCTATTTCCCTTAAATACATAAAACTCTTTTTGTCTATTATCCTATTGCCTCTGCCTAGAATACCCCTAGTCCCTGCCTGCCTAAGGCCCAACTCAACTATATCTCTTGATTTGTTTCTCTCTAAATTCTTTTAGCATTTTATTCTTTTTTTTCCCAATATTTTCCACATTTTACAGCCCTACTTAGATTACATTCCTTGTTTTATACTCCATCTACTGGGTTTTCGCAAGTGCCAGGAGGCTAGTAGGTATCTGTCATGGGTTGAATTGTGTGTCCCCAAAATTCATGAATCCCTAATCCCCAACATGACTGTATCTGGTGATAGGGCCTTGAGGTATGTGATAAAGGTTAAATAGAGGTCATAAGGGTGGGGCCCTAATCCAACAGAACTGATGTCCCTATAAGAAGAGGAAGAGATAGGCTGGGCGCCATGGCTCACACCTGTAATCCCAGCATTTTGGGAGGCCAAGGGGGATGTGGATCACCTGAGGTCTGGAGTTTGAGACCAGCCTGGTCAACATGGTGAAACCCCGTCTCTACTAAAAATACAAAAATTAACTGGGCGTGGTGAGGGGCATCTGTAATCCCAGCTATGGAGGTGGAGGTTGGAGTGAGCCAAGATCGTGCCACTGCACTCCAGCCTGGGGCACACAGCGAGACTGTCTCAAAAAAAAAAAAAAAAAAAAGAAGAGGAAGAGATACCAGAGATCCTTCTCCTTCCATGTGCAGGCACAGAGAAGAGATAGTGACATAGAGAAGACATGGTGAGAAAGCAGCCATTTACAAGCCAGGAAGAGAGGCCTTACTATAACTAATTGTGATGGCACTTTTCCCCCCTTAAATCAAACTGTGTAGCCTAGAAACTGATGGCAGCTTAATCTTGGACTTCTAGTCTCCAGAACTGTGAAAAAATAAATCTCTACTGTTTAAGCCACCTAGTTTGTGGTATTTTGTTATGGCAGCCCTAGCAGACTAATACAGTATCCAATAAATTCTTGAATGCGTGCTAAAATGGGATTCTAGGCACTCGATTTTAAACACTCTTTTCTGGATTTTATTTCAATTTGGAAATAGGATATTTTCCAGATGTACTAAATCTAATTTTTGTAATGAAAATATAAGAATTGCAAAAATTTAAAACACTTTAGGCCGGGCGTGGTGCCTCATGCCGGTAATCCCAACACTTTGGGAGGATGAGGCAGGAACATTATTTGGTGAGACACTGTCTTACAAAATTTCTTTTAAAAAATTACCCGGGCGTGGTGACACGTGCCTGTAGTCCTTGCTACAGGGAGGCTGAGGCAGTATTCAAGAATACCACTACCTTCAAACCGTTCAAAGTACAAAGCTTACTACAGATAGGTCAATTTTTCAGTATCTTGGGTTAGTTAATGCAATACATACTTAAGATCATGATTTTGGAATTCAACTTTGTAACTAAACAGAAGCACACTTATGACTGAATTGGAACAGATAACTTTAATGGCAACTTGGTCAAAACCAGATCCCTATTCTTTAATTCACGGGTTAATAATTAGCCCTAGATCTCTGATATTTGAACATAAAAAGGCAGAACCTTTAAATATAACATCTTTTCTAATGGGCAATGACACTAGAGCAGGTACTAGAATTAATCCTCCCTCCAAGCTTCCATACGTTCTGTCCCACAAAAATAGTAAATTGTACCAAGTGTTTGTTTTATCAACTAAACTCTACTTCACTTTTTTCTCTCCCACAAAAACTCTACTTAGAAAAGTACGAGACGAATGGCAGAAGCTGGAAACTGAGTTCAGGGAACTGCTACAAGATTGTTACAATTCTTATCCACGGATCCCGAGCTTTACCACCGCGGATTACCCAGAGCTTCCCACTCAAGGCCTGTGAGCCGCGGAGAGAACTATGATCCCCCTCCTCCCTCCTCCTACAGAGCAGCCTTGCTCCCTAAGGCCAAACCCATGCCCCCCATGACCTCCAATGGCTCTACAAAAGAGCTTTGAATTGCCCGCTTTTTCCAAAGCTGGTTCATACTCCCTCGCAAAGCAGGGAATAGGGTCTGGGGACAAAAGGAGGGACATGCCTGCCACATGAGGAAAACCCCATCACCTGGAACTCGGCGAACTCCTCACAGTTCACACCGCCACTGGGCGCCGCCATATTGGACAAACACGAGGACCCCGCTGCAGGCCAATCACCGCGGAGCAAAGGTGACCGCGGAGCCGCCTGACAAAAAATATAGCATGAGGGGAATCCTTAGGAAAGCTGAGTGCAAGACTTGACTTCTACGTGGTCCGCATCCACCTCGAAACCTGTCACCCTGCTGTCCTAACCCCTTTAACATGCCCTCCTGGAACTGGGCCAGATGCATGGATCAAAGATTGTCAGAACTTGAAGGGGCTGTTTACTCCAATCTCATCTTCACAAAAGGGAAACAATTTCCTTGTCGTTCCCCTACCAGGTCGTTGAAAGAAATCTAGGCAAGTGAGGCCTAATACCTCTCACTCCAGTGCCTATCTTCCTCCCTCGACCCTGGAGCAGAGGGGTCTTTGTTCAGAATTTGGGACCACTAAGAAACGTCAAAGAAAAAACGGCATTTCTGGCAGAGTGGGTGGGTATGAGTAAGGTGTTTAGGATGGAGATGATCAAATGTTTTTAGAAAATAGGTAAATAGAAAACAAATTGAAAACATACACGTTAATTTCTCAGATTTGCCTGAGGGATGCTCCAAAGCCAAAAGGTCACTGAGCACTGAGTCTAATTACGTGTTTTCTGATAAAAGCGTATGTTCATTGAAAACACTGGAAGAGCGGCATACTGGAATACTGGTTTATCTGGTGTATTTCGGGCGTTTACAGCTCACGAAAGTTGCACTTTTCCCTTCTATTTCACACAGGTCCTTCCATGGATGCATATCCGCTAGGGCAAGAACCCACGGCGCCACACTCCACAAGACCATTTCCAAAACTGGCTCGGAACGCGGCGCCAGGGGCACTAGGCTGGCGCCGCCGGTCTCCAGCGCGTCGCGCACGTCCTGCACGCCCCGCACTGGCGCATGCCGGTCCACAGCGTCGCGCACGCCCCACCCCCGGCGCCGCCTGCGTCCTTCCCTCTCCAGCACTGGGTGACATTGAGCTCACTAGCGCCGCCGTCCCCGGCGAAGTTCTGCGCTGGTCGGCGGAGTAGTAGGTGGCCATGGGGACCCTCCGCGGTCTGCTCCTGGCAGCGGGTGAGACGCCGGTCGGGTTATGGGAGGTAGGGCAGCTGGCCCGGCCGCTGCGGGTGGGGGAATCCTGAAGCCTTCCTAGGCCCCAGAGTGGCTCCATTCCATGACGCACTTTCTCGGTTGCTCGGAATCCTGCCTCCTTAGTGTCAGTGTGGGAGAGAACTAGGTGAGCAGCTACTGATAGACATTGGAGACTGCCCGTGAGTTACCCTCATCTCCATCCACTCAGCTCCCACCAATTTAACTGCCCACGTGCCTACCCTTCTCCCCACCCCAGTCCTCAGACTCCCCTGAGCTCAGTCTGTGAAACACCTACTATCCCTAGACTTCCCTTTTACCCATTCATTCAGCTTTCCACCCTAACCACCCCTATCTGTTGCTCTACTTGAGTCTTCCCTCTTCCCTGCCCCTTCCTCTCTGGAGTTTATCCCAGAAAACCTCCAGTCTGAAGTTTCCCCACTCATTAAATGTCTGATTAGGCCAAGGATTTAGGTCTTACAGATTAATAATAATTATTTTCTTAAAATGGAGGATACATTACTTTTAAACACTTATACAATTAATTGATTCGAATTTCTTGGAGGAAAGTGTGTAATTGAAGGATCTGCAGTTTGTTTTGGTGGTAGACATTTGTGTGATGACTGTTTTGGACTTAGGTAATGAAAACTCTTGGGAGGACCAGCAGAGCCTTGGCATAGTAGGGGTTGAGAAATCAGAGGGCTTGCATTTTGCCTCTTTTCTAGGTACCAGAGATCTTTTGTTCAATGGCGCTACATTATTAAAAAGTTGTTAATTCAATTTTTAAAGGAAAAATAGCCCCAAACTTGGCTATTCAAATAATATAAATGTATATTGTAAATGTAAATGAAATAATGCAAAAAAAAAAGTGAATGTTGCATAGTTTCACAAGTTTGGTATATAACCCTCCCCACCCCAAGGTTATCCTTTACACAGCTTATCTGATGTTCCAGTGGAGAATGGACTGGAAAACATGTCTCAAACTAAGGAGTATTATTATATTTGCTTCCTTTAAAAGCAAACACTTTCTCCACTAAAATCCTCAGTCTATGATTGATTTTATTGATTTTGTCAGTTTTGTTGAACTAATTCACCTAAAATATCTTCTGTACATCATATTAACCATTATAAAGCTTTTCAACAAGGCAAGTGAAAGGATCGTTGCTCTGTAAAAAAGTTAAAATGGACTGCAGGAAAAGAACTTTGACATCTTGGAACTAATACTGAGTGTATTGTAAGTAGTTCACCTTCTTGCTTTGATAGTATATTTATGCATCTTGAAAATTCCAAAGCCTCTCTGCAAACTTCTGATATGTGAAAACTTCACTATTGACCACTTAACCAAAGCAGAATTCCTTGAGTGGTTTAAGAACAAGTTATTTTACTTCAGATATAAAATGTTTAATAGCACACTAAGGATGTTATATGAGCAGCTCTCTCCATATGATCTTCCACGAATATCTGATGCTTTGTGAGCAACTCCAGAACAACCTACTGCCTTTCACCCACTTCCTAGCTAAACACTTTCATATACATTATTTTGTTGGATGGATTTCTCATAGCAGCCCTCTCAGGTGAGTCTTACTCCTCCCACACTTTATAAGTGAAGAAACATAGGTTAGAGATGACTTGTCCAGGATCACTTTGCCAGCAAATGTTAGAGCCAGGATAGGAGTCGGTACCCTCTAATTCTGGAATTTTTGTGCTTTTTGCTGTTGTTCAAACTGTTCATTCAGGGGCTGTGCGTGTATGAATTTGTCATGACTAATTGGGTCTCAATCTGAAATGAAAGAGTCATGAAATGCAGATTTAGTTCTGAAATGCAAGTACATCTTCATGTGCAAATGGCTTTTCAAGAAAGAAGACTGATTTAATAAGCAGCCTTAGCCAAAGGAATGATAGATCAAATAGAAATGTAGGCCCAGTGTGGTGGCTCACGCCTGCCATCCCAGCACTTTGGGAGGCTGATACCGGAGGATTGCTTGAGACCAGGAGTTTGAGACCAACCTGGCTAACTTAGCAAGAGCCTGTCTCTCCGAAAAGCTTTTACAAATCAGCTGGGCATGATGGCTCAAACCCGTGGTCTCAGCTACTCAGGAAGCTGAGGCAAGAAGATCACTTGAGCCCAGAAGTTTGAGGCTGCATTGGGCTATAATACAGTCATGCTACCACACTCCAGTCTGGGCAACAGAGTGAGACCCTGTCTCTGGGGAAAAAAAAAAAAAAGCATAATCTAGGCGTCCCTTATTTATCCAGAATATTTGGAATAAGATTCTCTACATAAGTGAAATTTCAGATGATCAAAACTTAACCTTATAAATGACGGACCTTTACTTTTGTTTCTGTTGGCAATCTTTGGTATACTCCCTTAGCAAACAATATAGCAAACATAATATAGGCTTTTATGAGCTCGAATTTGTTATTTTGTAGATGTAGTTGTAGATACAGATCAGGGTTGTTAAGTTGTGGTACTGGACACTTCCATGTTTGAGAGGTCCTGTGAACTTCTCAAATTTTTATGATTGTGTACCATTTTTGAGAGAGAGGGTCCATAACTTGTATCTGCTACTCAGAGCAGTTCATGCTCTTTAAGTTAAAAAGCACTGATACAGATGATTAGGAACTAAATGGCCATTTACCCACACTATGCTGGGTTTCATGAGGGTAAACACTAGATCTGTTTTGTTTTTACTCAATCCTTACCACTTACTGGTGTTCAGCTCATAGTAGACAGGCAATGCATATTTTTTGGACGAAGGACGCTAGGACATATCTTGGAACATGCTGCAAATATAAGGTGAGTTTTCACACCTCTTTTCTCCTGAAAGAATAAAATAGATATAACTTTTAGGATATTGTATCTTTCTACAGAATGATTATTAGTTCAAAGGAATAGAATGACCTTACAAGAATGTTTCTTCTTGAAAGAAAGTTTTGCTGCCCTAAACTCTGTTGACTGGTCAGATTTGAAAATGAATTTATTATCGTCATTATTGTTACCAATGTAATGGACTATGGGCTGCCTTCCTTTTAGTTTAACTGACATTTCAGAGCATTAGAGTAGAGAGATATCTTAGAATTCAGGTAATCTAGTCCTCTAATTTTTACAGATGAGGAAACTTAAGGGCCAAGAAGGGAATCGGCTTGCTAAGGATCACACAGGTACAGACCTGGGACATAGCCAATATCCCCTGGCTCCCATTCTGATTTTATTTCTATCACATTCTGCTACTTTATTGTTCTGTTTGTTCTTGCTAACCAACCTTAAATGAGAACATACCCATTTTAACTACCCCCACCTTTGGCTTTGCTCATTGCTCCTCTCCAGGTCTTACCAAGTATTTATTGAGTACACAATGAATGCCTTGTATGTATATTGTGAGGGCTCTAAAATGAATGGACTGCACCACTCCTATGGCTGATTTATTGCAGTGAACAAACAAACATATAATACACCAGAAAAACCTATACAAAACAGTATATATATAAAGCTTTAGATTACAGACCAGATTATAAGTGCTGCTGTGGTGTCCTGGAGCCACTGACTTTGTGCATGTCTCTTCCCAATTTCATATTCGGTGATGTTACATTAGTAGCTTAAGATCTGCTATGGTAAGGGTTATTGGCAAACACTACAAATCAGGACTTGTCTCCACTGGCCCCCTCCAGTATACCATCGGCTTCAAGAATTCTGAGATTCTTGAAGGCTCCATTGAAACAAAGGGGTTTGAGAGTGATGTGAGCACATGTAGGGGCGGTAATGAGTCTGAAAAAGGCTACGAGAGGAAAGATTACCTTGGATTTTGATCAGGAGGTAATAGGAGATAAAGTGTGGTGTTTGGAGAAGTTTGAACCAAATGAATTTGAACCAAAAAAACCTTTTAGCAGGAGAAGTAATACAAGAAACATTTCTGGAAAATTAACACAGTAACTACATACTAGTTAAACTGCTGCTACCTATGAAGATGTTACAGTAACTGATGTGTGAGGTGATGATGGAAATAACAAAGGAATATATTCAGGAAGTGTCTTGAAGAAAGGATGAGTTTGGAGATACTGAGTAAGGAAGGACTTAAAGACAAGTTTTTTAATGTTGAGGACTACGGAAGCATTGCCTCATTGTCAGAAATAAGAAAGTTGGAAAAATAATCAGAAATGCCATCAAAGATTTGTGTTAGTTTGGCAGAGAAGATAGCACATTATTGAGTAGGTTTAGGTGGCATTGAGTTATAGGTGGTGAGAGGTTGAAGACCTGAGGGCAAAGGAAGAGTAAAGTTATGGAGATAAAGATATGGGAGCAATTAGTCTGGAGTGGATTTTTAAAACAGAATGGATGAGTGCTTTTAGCACAGAATAGAAACAAGGACTAAGCCTTGGAGGTGTGACATAGGAACTGGGAAAGAAGACGTTAAAGAAGATAGGTCATAGAGGTTGGAGATGAAGTGAGAGAATATGGTGGTACAATGTAAGAAGGCATTGAATCCTTGTAGAAGGATGAGATCAGTAGAGTCATATGGCCACAAAAATGGCAAGAATAGAGTCAGAAGGGCTAATGATGAGAATCTAAAAAAATGTATTGGTATGACTAGAAAGAGGTTACTAATGTTGGTAGAGTAATTTTATTAAAATGATTGGAGAAGGAAACATTGTAGCAAAATAAAGTGTGGGTGGTGAAGTGAAGTAGTGGATACATGCCATTTATTCAATCATTTGAGCTATGAAAAAGAGAAATTAGAATTTTATTAATAGGACCTGGCCAGGCGCGGTGGCTCAAGCCTGTAATCCCAGCACTTTGGGAGGCCAAGACGGGCGGATCATGAGGTCAGGAGATGGAGACCATCCTGGCTAACACGGTGAAACCCCGTCTCTACTAAAAAAAATACAAAAAACTAGCCGAGTGAGGTGGCGGGCGCCTGTAGTCCCAGCTGCTCAGGAGGCTGAGGCAGGAGAATGGCGTGAACCCAGGAGGCGGAGCTTGCAGTGAGCCGAGATCACGCCACTGCACTCCAGCCTGGGCGATAGAGCGAGACTCCGTCTCAAAAAAAAAAAAAAAAAAAAACAGGACCTGTTGAGAACAAGTGAATGCTTTGTCCAACATAGTGGACCTTCAGTGTTATTGTAGGGTAATAAGACAGAATTTTCACTAACTACTAGTAGAAGTTACTGGAGAAGTAGTCAGCCTTTCTGGAAAGTAGTTTTAGATAGATAGATAGATAGATAGATAGATAGATAGATAGATAGATAGATAGATAGATAGATAAGATAGAGATGTAGATAGATAGATAGATAGATAGATAGATAGATAGATAGATAGATAGATAGATAGATAGATAAGATAGATAAAGATAGAGATATAGATGGAACCTTAAAGGGTTTCATACACTTTTACCCTTCACTTCCAGAATTTTGTTCTAAGAAAATAATTAGAAGTACCATCAAAGATGTATGTAGAGAACTGTTCATTGAAACATCACTTATAATAGTGAAAAATGGGAAACAAATCAAGTTGTAGGGAATTACTACATTCAGGTTATAGCTGTGTGTTGGGTGTTATACAGCTACTAAAATTATTAATATCTTGGAAAGTATTTGTGACATAGCAAGATACAGGATTATCTGATTATGAAAAATGTATATGTTGTATGTAAGTATAGGAAAGGTCTGAAAAGAAATATTAATGCACCAAGTTGTTATCCCTAAGTGGTGTTATTATGAGTGCTTTTATTTTTCTTCACATATTTTTTTAACCTGCAAATTTTCTTTAATGAGCAAGTGTTACTTTTATAATTTAAAGTTTATTTTACAAAAAGTTTTTTACATAATAACATGGTGTATAACAACTTGGTGGTACAAAGGTTTTTACATAGCGAGACCCCATCTCTACAAAACAGATTTTTTTAATTAGCCAGACATGGTGGCATCTGCCTATGGTCCCAACTACTACAGAAGATGATACAGGAGGATCGCTTGGGCCCAGGAGTTCAAAGTTACAGTGAGCTATGATCGCTCCACTGCACTTTACCCTGGGTGACAAAGTGAGACCTTGTCTCTAAAAAAAAAAAAAAAAAAAAAAAAATTAGGTTTTTTAGTTTTGATTTTAAAAATGGGGGAAATAACATTTGGCAGGAAAAAGGCAGTGGAAAATAAGGATAAGTTTGGTACAACATCCCTCAGGAGAGGGATTACTTCTTAAGAATGAAGGAAGACTGGTATTTCTCCAAGCCTGCAGGGAAGGATGAGAAAACGGATATAGGGAGTCTGTTTCTGTCACAAAGCCCAGGTCAACAGCTAAGGCCTAGAGAGTTTCAAATAGCCACTCTGGGGAGTGGGTTGTAATATTGATCCTCTGATTCCCAGAGAGTTGTCATATCTCCAGTCACATCACCTATGGTTCTCTCCAAGAGGACCTTGAAAGATTCTGAGAAAGAAAAAGCATCCCTACCTTTCCTCACTGTCTATCATGGGGTTAGAAAGGATATTTATGGAAAGGAGGGGACTACCAGGAGAAAAGCTGGTATTTCAACCAGCCTCACCCTGGCTGACCACTATAGCCTCCAGCTAGCAATAATATTTCTGAGGCACTGGTTTTCAAATTATGGGTCCCCCATAGCAGAAGTGTCACCATTACCTGGGCAATTGTTATAACTGCACATTCTCAGGTTCTGTCCATACTTACTGTATCAGTGGGGTACAGTAATCTGTTTCACGGGTCCCCCAGCTGATTTTGATAGATAAAAAAGTTTGAGAACCTTTACTCTTAAGATTAGCCATTTGCCACCCAGAGCCTTAGAGACAGCTGTGAGGCTTCATCTTAACTTCCTGCTAGGACCCTGGAGACACAGAACTTGTCAGCCAGGGACAAGCTGCAAGTCCAGCCAGAGGGTTAAAGGGCTGTTTTTCTTTTGGTTTGTATGTTTTTAATCGTGATCCACCAAAGGATGGAAAATGTCTGGCTTGGGCATCTGGTCAATATATTCTGTCTCTTTGAGAGAAAACGAAGGTCTTAGTAATGATATTAAAGCTTGTTTATACTGTCATGTTGTTATAATTGCAAAATAAAAACCAAGACCACATCAAATACTTCAGACATTTTTTAGTGATAACTTTTCTACATTTTAAATTTTATTTTATTTTATTTTTGAGAGAAGGTCTGGCTCTATCACCCAGGCTGGAGTGCAGTGGCATGATCTCAGCTCTCTGCAAGCTCCGCCTCCAGGGCTCAAGCCATCCTCCTGCCTCAGCCTCCTGAGTAGCTGGGACCACAGGCACATGCCACTGTGCCCAGCTCATTTTTGTATTTTTTGTAGAGATAGGGTTTCACTATGTACTGATAAAATTTTTAAAAATATTTTTTGAGCAAGACCTTGTCTTTAAAAAAATATTTTTTACATTAGTCTATTATTCTAATATCTATAATAAGATAATATTCGTATGTTTTAATCAGCATTTATACTGTAGGGAGGTAAAAGTTATTAGCATACAATATGAAGTTGTAGTAAGAAAAAGTTGGGAGATATAGTCTGATCTAGGTGAACCTCTCATGTCTCCAAGTTCCTACCCCCCATGGCTACCTCAGGTACCTCTGACATCAAATTCTACTTGTCTTCCCCTTATTCATTCTGTTCTGGCCATACTGGCCTCCTCTTTATGGGCTCTAGAATCTTTTAGGGTCTTTGCATTTATAATTCTTTCTGTTTGGAATATTCTTCCACCAGATAGCTGCATAGCTAGCCCTTGCTTCCCTTCAAGAGTGACATTCTCACAGAGGACTTCCTAACTACCCTATATAAAATTTCATACACAGCCCATTCCAAACATATACTTCATGTCCCCATTGTTTATTTTTTTTCTCTCTGGCACTGAGTATCTAACATATATATATATATATATAACTTTTTCCCCAGTAGAATGCAAGTTCTATTGGCACAGATTTTTATCTTTTTTGTATATTTCCTAAAACAATGCCTGGCACATAGGAAGTACTTTGTTGAATGAATATCTCCAGCATACATTGATGTCACTGATAGTAAGTATACTTGTTAGCATTTTTTGCTGTATTATTTCTCAAACTGAGCTAGCTGAGAGGCGGTTTGTCTTCTGTTCTCCTAAACTGCCTTTGTTCTAATTAGGAGAGATGGGGAGGGACAGCTGTCTTACAAAAT